CACCACAGCAGTGCTCCCCTTAGACCTTTATGAAAGATTTCTCAACTTTAGAAAGCCTCGTTATGGTGCTCTTCCAGATTTTACATTCCATGATGATGTGTCTACAGTGTTAATGGGAAACAGCCAACTAGGACTTGCTCTACCTTCTTTTTTCCCATGCTTTGGATTATTAGAATTCCTGTCCCAGTAGCCTGAGTCCAGCTTCTGATACCTACACAGTTCTCTTATACTCTGGTCTCCTGTACAGTATGCCTACAACTGAGCCCCTTAGGGACACCTTTTGGCATGGGCTTTGGAGAAAGTTGAAAGTATGGTCTGAAGTAGCCATATACCTATGTACAAGGCTCTCAGTGTTTGGAATTGAGCTGGAGAGTGGAAAGAAAATGAGGCCTCAATATGGGCCACAAACAGTGTTTAGTCTCAACACTCCATGAAGCACAAAAATTAGGAATTTGAATGTCTCAATCATGTTTCTATGAAAGGACATTTGTCAAGGTAGGAAGATGAACATAATTTATTTCAGTTTGGAGACTTCATAAACTTATAAATATGTAGATATATGGAGTTCAGGGCTTTATGATCTTGGGCCTTAAAAATGCTGGGATGGTACTACTCCCTTGTTAATGTATTTCTCTGTGAGTTTGTTGGATTCCTCAGAGAAGAGTCACCCAGTATCTTTCCAAGGAGATGGGTCTCAGGCTGCTAGTTTTTGGATAGACCTTTGAGAGAAGAAAGATAAGTATCACTGCAATCTGGAAATGTCCCATTATTCCCCATTTTCTTTAAGGTGACCACACCTGCCAAGATTGGGTGGTGGGGATCTAATGAACAGCAAGGCCTCCTATTTTGGCCCCTCCTTTATCCTCAGTTCCTGAAGCACTTGGAGCTGACAGTTTGCCAGCCTTTTGAGGACTTTGCCATGTAAACCGAGTTGGTTCTCATCCATCCCCACCGTGGTTTAGGATTGAACTCTGTAGGGGCTCTGAATCACTTACCAATTTTCCATCTGTTTCTTCTGTTCCTATTTTCTCTCACTGTTTCTCCTCATTTTTGTTGGTTTATGTTTTGTCATTGTTGTTAATCCATTCACTGTAGATTAGCAGTATTTCTGATGAGAGAACTGTATGTGTGTTAAATCTGTTCTTTGTGCTTAGTTACAGCCTGCAAATTTCCTTTTAATCTCTGCAATAAAAGTTCCATTAGGTAGGTTGAGTATTGACTAATTCTTATTGGAATAAAGGCTCTGAGAGCAGAATAAGATGAATCATCAAGAAACGGGATGGTGCTGCTAATGCTTAGGTCATCAGCACTCTCACTCTCCTAATTAAAATGAAGGAACTTCAATTAAGTTCGGCAGCTGGTTATCAATAGTGTGAGAGGGAGATGGTAATTTTCCATTAGTTTCTGCTTTGTGTTCACCTGTAAACCTCCAAGAGAAGTGGGAAATCATAATATTTTTGTCCTCCAGTAATTTTTCCCATGCCCTAAACAATGGAATTAGTTTTATGTAAAGAGAATATAGCTTATGAAGTGCTTGGTTGCTAACTCTTATGATATTATGACTTAAAAGATAGGTGGCAGGTACATCTGTGTTCTAGCTAAGGATACTCAAAAGATAGTGAAGGTAGTGCAGTGAAAACTGAGAGTGATGCTTTCTTAACTTGGTTTTAAATATAGTATTGCACTGAATCCTCACAAAATCCTGTAAGATACCTATTCTGAGCAACATAGTCTTTACACCAAGGATCATAGGAATTGAGTAACTTATAAGAGCAAACAGCTCATCTGAGTCATTTGCAAGACCAAAGTAGTGCTGGAATTTGAATCCAGGAGTGGATGACTGTAAACCCTTCCTACTGTATCCTGCTACCTTTTAAGAACAAATTTGGTAATTGTCAGTAATCATGCTATGAAACTATAATAGAGGATGCCATTGTCTTTCCTTTTCGGTTTACCTCCCAATTAATAGGTAAATATATCTCCATTAAAAGCAGCTACTGGTTCTCAGCTCCTGGAGAAAGAGGTAAAGTCCTTGATGTTATGCACATAGAACTGAATGGCACATCTTTGAAAACTTTTTTCTACTTCTTCTTTCTTTGATTCCATCTCTTGAACATACATTATCTAATTATGGTTTAAAATGTCTGCTACCAAGTTCATTGAATTTATTTTTGGAGCAGACTGAATCTAAATGTTGAAAATAAAAAGGCTATCAGAGATATTCTGCAATTCTATAAAACATATCTTCTGATTTAAGTAAACAAGTAAATATTGTTTCAAATTCATTTCTCTACATTTTCACATTTGAAGAGAAGATATCATTAAGCAAGACTCCAGTGTGGACTGTCATGTTAATTATAGCTATAATATAGCTACATTCCATTTCTGAAAACTTTGACTTATGCAGGCTGAAGTTCTAGCTTCCCCTATTATTCCTCCAATATTAGAACTTCATCTGCCCTTATTGTGGTGGGTCACTTTATCTGGATGTATTTAGTAGTCCTGCTGAGATGATTACTTTGATCCGTGCTTGTAGGGGATGTCCTTACTGAATTTATTTTGGATTCCCCTCAAAGATCCATGGCTGCCATGCTGAGAACGGTTTTTTGATGCTTCCATTTATCTTTAAAAAGGAAGGGAAATCTTCCTATGCACACGTGGGCCTGGCAGGGGTCCTCCCCTTCTGCTTACCTTGTTGAAGAGTAAGCCAGCAGAAGTCCTGGCCCAGTGCACACTCTACCTCTGCTTCAAACCCTTGCTTGTCTACTCGGGAAGAACTGCCTTGTATCTTAAAGATACCCCTTCCTTCTCTTTTCCATTTGGGCAGGGCCTAAGCCCATCCTCCTCCATCTTTTGGCAAGTGTTTCTTGAATGTCTCCCATTTCTGTACCAGGCATTTGGTAAGTGAGTGTAAACAAGCCTTGTTATGACCGACCTGAGAACATGTGCACTCACCCACAGGCTTCCACGGTCCAGCAAGGTGGTGCTTTAAATGTGGATGTATGCGAGCCGGGGCCGCAGCTCAGTAGGCTAATCCTCCGCCTTGCGGCGCTGGCACACCGGGTTCTAGTCCCAGTCAGGGCGCCGGATTCTGTCCCGGTTGCCCCTCTTCCAGGCCAGCTCTCTGCTGTGGCCAGGGAGTGCAGTGGAGGATGGCCCAGGTCCTTGGGCCATGCACCCCATGGGAAACCAGGAGAAGCACCTGGCTGCTGCCTTCGGATCAGCAAGGTACGCCAGCCGCAGTGCACCAGCCGCGGCGGCCATTGGAGGGTGAACCAACGGCAAAAAGGAAGACCTTTCTCTCTGTCTCTCTCTCTCTCACTGTCCACTCTGCCTGTCAAAAAAAAAAAAAAAAAATGTGGATGTATGCAAGACTTCAGAATCCTAAAGAAAAGGGCAAGTCTCTGAGCTCTCCATGGTAGAAACTAATCCCAGTGATAATGCTGAGAAGAAAGTCTATTTCTTTTCCTCTAGACCACCCCTACTCCTCTGGCTAGATCACCCCTACTCCTCTGGCTAGAAGATCGAATGGGGCTCTGTGTTCTTCAGAGAGCCTAAAATTGCACACCCCCCTCCCCCACAGCGGGATGTAGTTCCTCTTCCCTGGAGTTTTTAAATGGTGAAGTGAACACATTTAATACAGCCTTTGTGATATTTGTTAGGTTTTTGTTTATATGGATATATATTGCCTTCATTACTACACTCCGTGTCTTTTAAGTATATCTTATTTTAAAGCTGTCACACTTGGCATTTTAAGACCCATTTATTGATGATAATCCTTTAAAATTAATTCAATAAGTGAAAGTTTTTTAAGATTTATTTATTTGAAAAACAGTGAGAGAGAGAGAAATTATCCATTTGCTAGTTCATGCCCCAAAGGACCATGCTGGTTGGAGCTGTGCCAGGAACCTGTAACTCCGTCTAGATCTCCCATGTGGGTGACAGGGGCCCAAGAACTTGTGCCATCTCCTGCTGCTTTTCCAGGCACATTAGCAGGGAACTGTCACAGTATCGGAACAGCTGGAACGCCACCGAGAGCTCATAAGCATGCCAGCATCTCAGGTGGCAGCTTAATCTGACGTGGCACAACCCCAAACCCTGTGTGAAAGATTTTACAACAATTTTTGGTAACACCATTGTTATATCATCTGTCTAGTGGTTTCTAACTGGTTAATTCACGATTTTGAAAAAAAAAAATTGTTAAACCATGGATTTGGTAGTGTAGCTGTACTTTTAAAATAAGAAATACGTATTTGTGCTTCTTTAAGTTTGGGGAATGAGACTATTTTTTAGCATTTCAGGAATTTTTGGATATATCTAAGTAGGAGGTTCCACCAACTTGGGCCACCGTGTGCCATTTGCCGCCTATTAGTAGGGTGTTTTATAAGGTGCATAATTTAGTTTCCCCTATTGTTTCCTGAGGTCCTGCTGTTACCACTCATAGGCTGACCATCTTTAAAATTAGTTGAAATTTTTTGAGCTCTGTATTTTCTAGAAGGTTTCCTTTCCCATATCTTTTAAATTTATTTTAAGATTCCATGCCTTTCATTCTGGTGTTGGTCATCAGGTAGCAACAGTGCCTTCAGTTCTGGTCGCATAAACTGTTGCAAAGTGACAAAAGGAAAAAGCCACATGCGTTCAGGAGGGGGAGGAGTAAGCGTTCGGAATTATGTACTCTTAATTCCTCTTCGGGAGTGTGCCCCCTCGTGTTGTCTCTTGCAAATGCAGGCATGAATTATCAGCTGGTGCTGATCAGTGTTCTGGTTCTACCAGTCCCCTGTAACTGGGGCTTACCCTTCTTACCAGGGCCCCCAAGATAAAAGCACAACATGGATCTTGCAAGGGAAGTGTACGAAGGGTGTTTGTTCATTTCTTTCTGTGGAAATATCTAAAAGATCCATTATTTAAGAGAATTTTTTTAAACCATGAGACACAGGTTTATGCCAATCTGGAAAAATCAAATATGTTATTTTAGGTTTTTCTTTTTCCTTCACCCTTAGCCATACCCCTGGGTATTCTTGTTGTGCGTGGAGACTGTGATTTGGAGACTTGCCGTATGTACATAGACCGCCTACAGGAGGTGAGTTTATTGAGCCCGTTGTTTTTCTACTCAGCTTTCCATTTTTATGGAGAATTACCGGCTGCATGTAGTTGTTTCTGAAATGAGGCACTGGGGGATGAAATAGAAACACCACTGTATCCTTTAAGCCTGCTCTGCAGGTCTCCCTCCTCAACCACCACTGTGGTTTCCTTCCTCAGGTGGTCGGGATGGCAAGGCGTTGGTTGACTTAACGACAGGCGGCTGTTCTTCACTGTGTTCCATAACTATAGCTTGGAACGTCTTGTCTTCTTTCCAGACTACAAATCTGTATGTTTTGAGCTATATAGAATTTCAAAGGGCGTTGATAAATAATGAAAGAAAACAGAGATTTGGGGTTATTTAATGTTTTGTATCTACCACAGACTTCTCTCAAAAGAGAGCTAGATTTTGTTAAAAATGAAACTTCTACAGGAAAGAAAAGCTGTCTATATTTCATGAGAAGTTGTCAGAACACAAAAAGGAATAATCTTTTTTTTTTTAATCAATCTGATCTTGTCACAGAGAAACAGAAAGAGTATCTCATCTAAGGGATTCCCATGAATGCAAATGTCCCGGGAAAGCCAGGAGACCCACTATCATGGTTACAGTTGTTGCTTTATGAAGTTTTGAGGGAGAATATGAACAGTCTGCATTCCTCAAATATCACACATAGAAGTTTCTTGATCATTAGTATTTTTTCCTCTATGTTTACTTATTTATTTTCACCTACTAGAAATGCTAAGAGAGGGAGGGAGGGAGGGAGAAATTTTCCATCCACTGATTCAGTCCCTAAATTAGCTGCAACAACCAGGGCTCAGCCAGGCTGAAGCCAGGAGCCCAGGACTCCATCTGTGTCTCCCCTATGTGTGGCAGGGACTCAAGCACTTAAGCCATCATCCACTGCCTCCAAAGTGCATTAGCAGGGAGCTGGATCGGAAGTGAAACAGCTGAGACTCAAGCCAGAACTTTGATATGGGATGTGGGCATCCTAAGCAAAGTGAAACACGCTGTGCGACAATGCCTGCTCCTATCCTTGGTTTTTGATGCAATATGCATATTTGAGTTGTGCTTCTCATATATGGTGTGGATGTTTGTGTTTTTAAAATTCTTTAGATTTGTATCCACTTAGTTATGAACATTAGATTCCATGATTCTTGGCAGAAATAGATTCAGGTAGAGTGGTATGAAAAATTATTGTCTTTTTTCTTTATCATTATTAAGAATAGAGACAGAATTGCATATTAAAATATTTAGAGGCAGATGCCTAATTTAGAATACGAATAAGGTTTCATTTAGCTATGTAGATCATGGATAGTTGCTTGAATAAACTGAAATGTGCAGACTTTTTGTGATGTGACGCAGGTGCCCATGTATATTCTCAGAATTTACAGTATCTCGTTTTAAGTGAACCCTAATCAACAAACTGGCAATAACAAAGTAATCATAATTGGAACCAAACTTTGTTTTTGTTTTGAAGATTTACTTATTTATTTTAAAGTCAGAGTTACACAGAGAGAGAGAGAAGGAGAGGCCGAGAGAGAGAGAGATCTTCAACTGCTGGTTCACTCCCCAGTTGGTCGCAACAGCTGGAGCTCCTAGCCGATCCAAAGCTAGGAGCAAAGAGCTTCTTCTGGGTCTCCCATGGGAGTGCAGGGGCCCAAAGGACTTGGGCCATCTTCCACTGCTTTCTCACGCCATAGCAGAGAGCTGGGTCAGAAGTGGAGCAGTCGGGACTCGAACTGGCACCCATAAGGGATGCCAACTCTGCAGACTTTACCCAGCAGGCCACAATGCCAGCCCTCCAAACTTTGTTTTAAACTTCACATTCAGTTGACTTTAATAAGGCCTCACCATAGCAAAGTATGTGACTGCTGAAAGCCAATTTATTGTTGTGCAAATCACACCAGTGTTTGACTAAAGGGGAATGCTAAAAAAACAAAAAAGGAAAGCATGAACTCACCAAGTAGAAAGGGAAAGTTTTAAAACTAACTTGGCACAAAGAGCAAGGTGAGGAAGCCCTGTGGGAAGCAGGTGTACCGACAAGGGGAGCCAGGATTGCTGACATCTGTCAATAGAATAATGACACTCATTAGCAAGGAAGCCTGGGGGGCCTGAGAATGGTGACAACTTAGTCGTACAACTTTACAAAGAGAGTCCATCTTTCAGAAAAGCCTCATTAATTTTAACCCTGGTAATTTGCAATTCCTGATAATGCAGAAGCGGATAGTAATTTTCTTTGTGCAGAAATGTGTCAGGATAAACACATTTACCATGGCACTGTGCGTTTGGTTTAACATAAAGAAATTCTAAGTATTGAAAGGAACTTCCGAAGCCTTTCTAATACAAGTTCAGCTGCAAATTAAATATGATCCCATTTATTACAATAAAATTACTTATTTTTTCTTTTGGTCTTTTCTATCTTTGAAATCATAATACATCACTTATCTCTAAATGCTAGTTAGGACTTATGATTTTCAATAGCTTCAGAGAGACCTTTTTTCCTCTGTCCAGCTCAGTGTTTCTGATTATTTCTGGCTTTTCTTTCCTTAACTCTGATGAATTTGGGCGAGATAGATGTTTTCCAGATGAGCTTAGCATAGCATAAATTGAGTGTTCAGTTGATGGCATCACGGGGCAGCTTGTTCAAACTAATTGTAAGTATATTTTTCTTCTCATTAGGATCTGCAGTCAGTTTCTTCTGGCTCCCAGAGAGTTCATTACCAGGTAACTCAAAATTGACTCTCCTTGTTTCTTACCTTTTGGCCAAGAGAAATCCACTTTTCAATTGCTGTCTTGTTTGGAATTGTGGTCCACTTTTTCTCTAGGGATAGAGTTCGTGCTAGGAAGAACCTGGAGAGATTGTTATTCTGATTCTTTTGCATTGTGCCAAATTTGGGTCATACTAGAAAAAAATTCTTTTTGGCTTTTCCCCCTAGATCATTTGGAAAGGGTTATAAAATGTGCTTTCAATGATGAGTATCGTAAAATTAAAATCAAACCAGCTTAGTGGGGAAAGGGCCTACTAGTTCATATAAGCAGAGAGGCCAGATCAGGGCAGATTTCATGTACCATTTGGTCAAGGTTCATGCGTCATGTTTCTGCTGGTCTTTCTGCTTTGTTTCTCTCCTTCTGTTGGTTTTACCTCTGGACTAGATATTTTCATGGTCCCAGATAACCTCCACTAGCAAGCATGCTTCACATGCAGGGCTTCACATAACTGTCAAGCAAAATTTCTAAAATGCAGTCTGCCTGGTCCATCCTGGTCACTTGTCACCAGATCTTCTACACCCAGTCTGCCCTCTGTTTTCCATGACCTATGTCAGGTCCACAGAAGAGCACTCAGCTGTCTTTCGCCCCAGCAGACTTTGGACCTTCCCCATCCCTCCTATGCTGCACAGACCTGTCCAGACATCCTCTTGCCCATTCCATTCGCTCCAGCATGATTTAGATACCAGTGCACAGTATCGCCCTAAATTGCAGTGGGCTCATGTGAAGCTCGCCAGTAGGCCTCTGAGAGACCCCTGTGCCCTTGCCCACTGGGGAGGGTGTGTGGGAGTTCAGCATGCCAACAACTCCCTCCCTTCTCTGCCTGCTTGCAGGGAAAGACTTAAATATGTTTAAATTATAAATTTTTGAATACTGCTTTAGTTCCTCACTTGGGGTTTTGTGTGCTTCACTATATCTGAAACTCCTAGTTTCTTTTTTAAAAACTGAAAAAACAACACTCTAAAGAAGAACCTCGCCTTGTAGCATTCAAGACAGCTTTCTCCCTCTACAAACGTATACTCTCTACCCTCAGCCAAAACAGCTTATTAACTTTTAGTTTCAATGGCAGGAATGAACTTGTACTTATTTATTTTTTAAGGTTTTCTTGTATTTATTTGAAATGAGAATGAGAGAGAGAGAGAGAGAGAGAGAGAGAGAGAGAGGAGAGCAAGCTATTTTCCGTCTGCTGGTTCACTCCCCAAATGGCTACAACAGCTGGGTCTGCTCAGGCTGAAGCCAGGAGCCCAGACCTCCATCTGGGTCTCACATGTGAGTGTCAGGGACTCAGCCACTTGAGCAGTCACATGCTGCTCCCAGGATATGCATGAACAGGAAGCTGAAGTCAGGAGTGGAGCTAGGATTGAGCCCAGGGACTCTAATACGGGATGGTACCCTGTGTGCACATGCCCGCCCCTTTACCTTAATATTAGGTAAAACATAACAGTCCTCACATTGGCTGTTTGCATATCTATATAATAACACTATCTAGATATAATTCTACTGCTAAAAATATGATGTTTTGGGCTGGTGTTGTGGCACAGTGAGTTAGGCTTGTGCCTGCAATGCTAGCATCACATGTCACAGCATTGGTTCTATTCCCAGTTGCTCCTTTTCTGGTCCAGCTCCCTGCTAATGTGCCTGGAAAGTCAGCAGAAGATGGCCCAAGAACTTGGGTTCCTGTCACCCATATGGGAAACAAGGATGGCATTCTGGGCTCCTGGCTTCAGCCTAGCCCAGGCTTGGTCATTGCAGCTACTTGGGGATTAAACCAGCGGTGGTAGATTCTCTGTCTCTCTTTCAAATAAATAAATAAATAAATTTTTGAAAAGTGTAATGCTTTCAAAACTTAGAAATGATTGCTAACAGTGATATTAAAATACTATGAATATCTTTTTTTAGAATTTTATACTTTTTATTCTTGGATATTTTGAATATTTTCAGTTTTATCCAAATATCTTAAACACTTATCCTCACTAATTTTAATGAAAATATATTTATTTATGAACTTGGCATATGTAGTCATTTTGAAATGAGAGTTTGATTGTGGGTATGTTGTACCATCTTTCCTTGCTGGCACGTCCATATACATCCACTGAGATCACAAGGTGGTGAGACTCTAGCATATGATAAGGATATTTGTTTCATTTATTGTTTGACAATAACATACAGAAGGATTAATTATATTTTCGTACTGTATCAAAATCTTGCTGTATTTTTTTGCTTGCTTGCAGTCAAGTCAAACCTTGCTGTCAAGACTCATTCATTATAAATGTCACACCAAAAGGCTTTGTGTACTGAGCATACAGGATAACCAATACAGTGATCAGGGATAAATGTCAGCAATGTTGCATACCCCTACACAAGGGGCAGAGCTATTGAAAGCAGGCACCTTTGATTATTAAGGGATGGCTGGAACTAAGAAAGACCTAAGAAACCTGGGAGCTTCTCAGTAAATGGAAGCTTAACCTCGAGAGAAATTTCTAGAATTAACATGGCCAGAGCACAGGGAAAGAGTGGTGAGGAGTTGCCTGTGCAAAGAACTAGTTGAAGCATGAAACTAAAGGGGATCAGCTTTGACATTTGGCCAAGATCTCAGAGGCCTATGTGGAGGGATGCTGAAGAAAGAGTTGTCTTCAGCCACACTGGCTTTGATATGCCTATTGCAGCCAAGAGGTTTGGTGAATGGAAGACGAATGTGCGAATATTAGAATGTATTGAAAAACTTAGAGCAAGAGATAGAAATGTAGAAGACAACAGGAAATGGACATGCTTAAAGCTGCAAGACTGTATGAGATCACCTAGGGGAAGTTTAGATAAAGAGGAGATCCCAGTCCATACCTTTAAGTATTTATCCGTCAATGAGAACAGAGGTGCAACAGAATCATCAGTCATCAAGTGCCATAGAAACTGAGAGTCACAGCAGGAAAGCTGAATCAAGGAGAAGTGGTATCATGAAAGCCTAGATTAATAATATATACAATGCATTAACATGTGATGTTAATTAGGAAATCAGGTGAGAAGTGTATGGGAACTCTTTGTATTACTACCCCCACAGTTTTTGTTTTGTAAATATAAGACTATTCTGAACTAAAATACTTTATTTATTTAAATAATTATTATTTATTTGAAAGAGCTACAGGGAAGGAAAGCCAGAGGCAGAGAGAAAGAGGGGTGGAGGAGAAAGAGAGATAGAGATAGAGATAGAGATAGAGATAGAGATAGAGAGAGAGAGAGAGAGAGAGAGAGGATCTTCCATCTGCTGGTTCACTCCCCAAATGGCTGCAATGGCTGGCGCTGGGCCAGGCTGAAGCCAGGAGCCAGGAGTTTCTTGCTGTTCTCCCACAAGGGTGCAGGAGCCCAAACACTTGAGCCATCTTCTGCTGCTTTCCCAGTCGTATTAGCAGGGAGCTGGATCAGAAGTGGAGCAGCCAGGACTTGAACTGGCACCTATATGGGATGCTGACATTATAGGCAGAGGCTTAACCTTTTATGTCGTAGTGCTGGCCCCTCTGAAATAAAATATTTTAAAAAAAGAAAGCCAGGAGTGAACTGTGCTTCAAAAAGGAGGAATAAATGGATCATGCCAAATGCTTTAGAGAGGCCCAGATGATGTAGATTGATTTCTATGTATTTTCTGAGGGTACAAATAAAATACATGGGATACAGGTGCTATGAATTTTTAAGTAGAAAGTGACAACCAAGTGACAGGGAGTTTAATATTAAATCTTTTGTTTCTTAATGCAGAAACTGGTATCAGAATCTCTAGTGTGTCTTAGTGGGGACTTGGGAGTGATATAGAAAACAATGCTTTCAAAAACATAACTGATAAAATACCTTATATGCTGTTTATTGAATTTTCTCATGCATGAGACGGCATTACATGTTTGGAGAATTAACTGCCAAGTGAATGAATAAACACTTGAGAATAAAAACTTGAGAAGTTCCTATCGGCTCACTAATTTGCAGCTGGGATTTTAGCTCAATCTTTTTCTAAGACTAGGGGGAAAAATCCAGAGAAAAATAGCATTTAGAAAGGTGCAGATGTGCCCAAGACACCTTATTAGTGAGCCATATGGCAGTTTCTCACCTCTTAAGAATTTCCTTGCTTTGGATTCCTGCTTTTCAAATTCATACTGAATTGCCAACAAAGCACTAAGGCTCAAAATGACACCTCGTATTAACCTAACAAGGCATTATGTATTATACAAGGACATGTTAGATATTTATAGCCTGCTAAGAATTTCTGCCTACATCATCTCTGAAGGCAAAATGCAAAGACCCCTCCATGCTAACGGCATCTGTGTAACCTGTAACTGAAATGGTAGGCAAGAAAACGCATTGTGCTTACAGATTCAGGTTGTTCTTGAGATTGGTGCATAAACTAGAGTTCATAGAGGAAATGACACTTATCTATTTAACAAAGATGCTTCCTGAAGTGACCTGCTATGAGATAAGTCCTACTTTGTTCCCTGCCTGGAAAACATTACACCCCTTATTAACCCCAAGTTGCCAAGTTACTAAGGAATAAAGGCAAATTCAACCATTGAAGTAACCATTGCTTCTCAACTAGAGAAGAATTTTGGCCTCCGTATAGGACATCTGGCAATGTCAAGAGACATTGTTTGTGATCTATTGACTACAGGTCGAGGCTGCTGCTAAACATCTTACAATGCACAGGGATAAGAAAGAATTATCCAGTTTTAAATGTCGATAGTATACAGTTTCAGATTCCTGGGTCATTCTGATTGTTCCACATGGAGGTGTAAGTCCTAGATGAAGAAAGGTGGAGGAGAAAGAAAGAGGAGCAGGAAGAGAAAAAGTGGGGCATAATTGGAAATGGTAGGATAGAATAGAGAGCAAGCCAGGAGAAATCAGGTATAATACACACACACACACACACACACTCACTGGGTGTCCTCATTTCCCCAGGGTGAAACTTTGTGGGGACATTGATTATA